AGAGTTGCTGGCTGCCTAGGAGGCTGAGTCTCCCTCTCTCAGGCAAACATGCAAAAACTAGAGCTGACTTGAAAGCTGAACCAGCTCCTGTCCTAAGGTAGAGTGATCAGGGGGCACGGCCGACAGCAAAAGGAGAAAGTGTAGAGTCCCCTTGCCCCAAGCAACTGGTTTCTGATTTTAACACTGAAATATACTATGTGTCCCTCCAGGGCTAGTTCTGAGAAGTAGGCAGGGTTACTCGTCTGCCTCCCCTTTTACCTCGATTTTGGTGACTTTGAAAAGCAAAGACAGGTCAAAGCAGACTTCCTCTAGGATTTATTTCTAAAAAAAAAAAATACATATATAGACAGTCATATGCAAACAATCACAAAATTCCTTGGAATTATATCTCAAGAAACACCAACAGGACTGACTCAGAGCCTGCAAAATACCAGAGTTCTGGAAGAGCAACATTTCTGGAAACCTGGCATGTGAATCAAGTGCTGGGTTCTCTCAAGATTCCGGCAGAAACTGTCCCCTGCTACAAGAGTTGCTGTGCCTGGAAACCCAGCGTTCAAACTCGTGGATTCACCCTGGCGCTCATTTCCACATACGTGGTAGTATCAAGTGGGACACTTCCCACGGAATTCAGCCAGAAACCCTAGGAAAAGCTCATGCATAGCTTAACAAAAATACACAAACACATCCCCAAGGTTGAAGTACTTACCTCTGTGCGAGACTGCAGTCTCTTGTTCATCTCATAGATTCGGTACTCTGGCTGTACCATGTATGGTGTATGCCTCCTATAAAATGGGCCGAAAGGAGAAGAATAGAAGGGGTCATGTGGTGTGCTGGACATCTTGCCTGCTTTTCGAAAATCAAGCTAAACAGAGTATCAGTAACGTCCATGCAGAGCACATGGGCTGTGTTCTTCCCAGTACAAAGTAGACGCACGCACACACGCTCACACACACACAGAGGCAGGCAGGCAGGCAGGCTGAACACGCTGGCTGGGAACTGCTGTCGGAGCCCTCTATAGCAGGAGAGGAGAGGGAGAGGAGAGGAGGGAGGGAAAGAGGGAGGGAGGGAGGGAGGGAGCACGGGAGAGGAGGGAGAGGGAGAGAGCAGGAGATCCAGAGAGGGAGGGAGGTCGGCATGGAGGAAGGGAGAGAAGGAGGGAGGGAGGGAGGGTGGGAGGGAGGGAGAGAGAGAGAGGGAGAGAGGGAGAGAGAGAGGGAGAGAGAGAGAGAGAAGCTGGATAGCTTTAGGCACCAGTGCTTGTTTTTAAAGAAGCAGTTTGTGGAGAGGTCATTTCCTGTCCACACTGTAGACTAGTTCACAAATATAATTCTCCTCACAGTCTGACAAGAGGTCTAAGGTTTGGTTTTAATTTTTTTCCTCCAGCCAGGACCCTTGGCAGCCTGATTGCTAAGCCTGTTAGCATAGAGGTGGTCTAACCGCTGCACGAGCCTCTCACCCCTGACAACCACACTGTTGTAATGTATCAGAAATGTTGATTACTACAAAATACAGAAACATGGGCACTGTGGTGCCCCGAATTGGGGCCACTAATTCACTCACGTGCAGAGATTTATTTCTGCACTAATCTCCCTACGTAGTTTTGCTTTACTTGCTGTTGTTCCAAGGGCTGTTATATTCTTTGCCCTCTACTCCATCTCACCCCCATGTCTCCCCACTCACCCCTCTTTCCAGCCACCTCCCTCTTCTCCCAAGACTTGATTCAGGCCCGTAAGGTGCCTGGGCATTTTCAGGTAAAAACAATCGTTCTGAATGTGGAATGCAGAAAATACACTTAAGGAGAGCAATGGTCTTTTTTCCTAGGAAGGAAAAAAACAAAACAAAACAAAACAAAACCCCAAAGCAGACCTCCCAATAAGACAGGAAAAGCAAAAAAGGAGAAAACTGTCACAAAAATGACCATGGAAAATTCAGTTGAGTAGGAAATTGCAAATAATTTAATGGATCATCCCCAGATAACATGTCCAACTCTTGTGGAGACAAAGTCTATATTTTCCAAGATTGGTCAAGTAAACAAATCTTTTCCCAACTGTGGTATATGATAACTATAAGAAACCCCAACAGCCCATGGAAGGGGGAAGAATCTCTACAGAGAATTAAGCGATCTATAAAATAATCAAATTCTGCTGGAACCAACCATAACCAGAGATACGATACTTAAACAAAGCTCAGCCACAGAAAATTTAAATGTATTGAGCTAACACCTAGGTAGGTCAGTGGTATTAAGGAAATAAAGCAAACGACCACCAAAAAGCATGATGAATTCAAGACCTGAATGCAAATGCATGCAAATGAGACATTTCTTCTTTTTAATAAGCAGATTAATTAACTTTCTGCCCCAATCATGGCTTGGGTATCTCCAAGTCACTAGCCAACAGGGGATAAGGTATTGCTAATTCTGCAATTTACACTCTTAAAAATACTCAGACACAGAAAAGTGTATTGCTGTCTTGATCAGTCCTTCTTCATAATTGCATGAAATATTTGCTGAGTCCACCCCAAACTTCCAGCAGCGCAGCCCAACACACTAATGTAGCCTGCCAGGATGAGATTAGGGTAGGTATTACACTAAGGCTGCTTGGAACTTGCGCTAGGAGACCCCAAGGCAGGCGAGAATGCTTGGTTTCAGGTTTCATTACAAATCCAAAAGCTGGACCAAATTTGCTGCAAGGTTTGTCAAAACACACAACCTTCTAAAGACAGGATTTCAAACAATTTTGGCATGATTTATGTTTTGGTATGGCAGCCACTGCAAAACCTAACGGTTCCTTATGTTTAAATTCCCAAACTAAAGACATTCTGAGAGTTTATGTCTGCCTGAGTTTGTGCAAGAATGAAAGTAACACCTAGGCAGGCGTGTGCAGGCCAATACTAGTAAAAAAAAAAAAAAAAGAAACAGTTCAAAAATCCATTTAGGAAGGCAATCCCTCTCCGAATAAGGTTCCAGTTTGCTCTCATTTGTTTCTGCAGACCATTGCAAATTATAATTGGAACTATTTCTTGCCCTTAATAGCAAAAGACTCATTTCAGAACTATCTGAAACTTGATAATGCTGATCCATATCCCTGATTCTCATCCCGGCTACTTCAGGAGTCTCCGAACGGGTCCCCCTGCCCACAGATTCACAGGTCTCTTCTAACTTGTGGTCTGTCCTTATTCAAATCAGAATGCGGATTTCAAATAAGTGAAAGCGATCATGTCCCATGTTTTCCCCCTCAGTGTTTCCTGGCTGCCAGCAGGAAAATGTGCAAGTTCCTTAGGAACACGGTATAGAGGGCTTGGTAAGACCCACACTTCTGTGCTCTCTCTTTCTCCCGCTGTCACACACACAAACACACACACACACACACACACATTCATTTACTCATTTGTGTGTCCATTCATTTATTTATTTGCTATACTTGATCTTCCTAAACTTACAATCTTTCTCATGCATGGCCACATTTGTACTTCTGTCCCTAGCTTACCTACAAACTGCTACTTATCCTTCTATTCAATTAAATTGTCTCCTCCATAAGCCTTTTTAAATTACACATTCATTTGTTTATTTATTCAACAGATATTCCATTCACAGTGGATAGAGGCAGAGCCAACAGCATGGCCAGAGCACATTTCAACCCTAGCTCCACATCCTAGTTGTTGCGTGAACCTGAGCAAATGACTCAGTCTCTCTGCACCTCAGTTATCTCAGTGCAAGATAAGGACAATGATAGAAACTAGTCTATAAGATTGTTCCTAAGGATTAGCAAATACATCCAAATGCATTAGAACCCTCTCACCTAAACGCTCAAATAATAACACGATAGGCTGGGCGCGGTGGCTCATGCCTGTAATCCCAGCACTTTGGGAGGCCGAGGCGGGCAGATCATGAGGTCAGGAGTTTGAGACCAGCCTGACCAACATGGTGAAACCCTGTCTCTACTAAAAATACAAAAATTAGCCTGGTGTGGTGGCGCACGCCTGCCTAGCTACTCAGGAGGCTGGGGCAGGAGAATCGCTTGAACCTGGGAAGCGGAGGTTGCAGTGAGCTGAAATCACACCACTTCACTCCATCCCAGGCAACAGAGCAAGACTGTCTCAAATAATAATAAAAATAACAACAACAACATGATTATTAGGTACCTAATATCTGCTTAGGTCCTAGGGATCATTGGGAGGCCAAGGTGATGTAGCACACAGGCTACCTGCCTTCCTGCCCCTTGCCATCTAGTGAGGGCAAGGAAAAGACAGCGTAGAAGAGCTAGTAAATATTTGGGAACATAATTTTAAACTATAGTGCATGCTCTGTTGGAAATAAATAAAATAAAAAGAAGAGATAAAAAAATATCCCCCCCTTGGTATCATCAGTGTAGTTTCTATATTCTTCTATTAGAGGACTTATATTAATACATAAAAGGAACAAATACTGTCACTTGTTCAGCACTTGCTATGTGCCAGCCACTGTGCTGAGTGGTCTACACAATTACTCTTAGTTAATCTCACAATAAATCTATGGAATTGATTTGATTACTATTCCCATTTTACCTAACCGGAAACTGAAGCTATGAGAGGCTAAGAAAGTTCTTTGAAGTCATGCAACAAATAAGTGACAGAGACAAGATTCACATCCAGTTTGCCTGACTGCTTGCATCTTAAGAATTTTGCTGCTCAGAGGTCAGGTCTATCCTCACCTCGAGGGCGTTTCCGTTCTTTGTCCCTGGTGGCCAGCATGGTGCTGAGCCCATAGTAGGTGCTCAGGACACATGGATCTGACTAAATGGAAGCATCAAAGGATAAAGTGGCTCCCCTCACTTGGATTTTATTCTTCATGGTCTTGCTTAGTTTCAGACACTCAATGCCCCCTGCCTCACTCCGACCCCCACCCCGAAGCCCTGCCCTGCCAAGCCAAATCACCACTCCCATCTTTGTTATTGTCCCAAATCTCCTAGCACAGATTCCTAAATCCACAAGCTAGGAGTTGAATCCTTTGCACCACTAGGTTACCTGGTTGTCTTTGTCATTCATCTGTTTGTCTTCTTTCTTGCTTCTTGAAGGACCAGATCTTCTTCTGGGTCATGTATGAGCTAAGAAGTGAAGAAAACAAAGTGCGCATTTTAAGATTGTAAATCAGCTCCTTCAGAAAATCATAGAGAATTGCAAGTATGCAGTATTTGTACCCTAGCAAAGAATAAACAAGTCTAACCCCCAATACAACAGTTCTATTACCCCCAAAGATTAAGCCATGTTCATTTACGCATCATTTTGTGTGTTGAGTATGAATGAGTTCCCAAAGTCCTCATGCGGACGTTCAAGGTGCTCTAAAAGCTGGCCTGCCCTTTATACTCGGGACCTCATTTAGCTACATTCACCGTAGGTTTAACCCACAGAGTGATTATTGTTCATTTAAGCAGAAATTCTTACCCACAGTTTAAAAAGTGAAGAATTAGCCAGGTGCGGTGGCTCACGCCTGTAATCCCAACACTTTGGGAGGCCAAGGCAGGCAGACCACGAGGTCAGGAGATGGAGACCATCCTGGCTAACACAGTGAAACCCCATCTCTACTAAAAATACAAAAAAACAAGCCAGGCGTGGTGGTGGGTGCCTGTAGTCCCAGCTACTCGGGAAGCTGAGGCAGAAGAATGGCGTGAACCCGGGAGGTGGAGGTTGCAGTGAGCCGAGATCACACCACTGCACTCCAGCCTGGGAGACAGAGCACGACTCTGTCTCAAAAAAAAAAAAAAAGTGAAGAATTTCACATACAGTCCAGATTTTCATCTTCTCTGAAAAATTATAAGCTCTGACCATCCTTGGCCCCATCCCTGCTGCATGGCAATGTGCAGCGGGGCCAGCGTCTTTGTGCTTGTCTGTTCACCATGGTCTCTGTCACTCTACAGCCGTCCCCTCCAACGCCCCTAATTTCCATTTACCTGCCTGGTTCTTCCAAGTATTTGAAACATTGTTTTTTTTCTTAATCTATCAATTGCATCCTTTTCAAATCCTTCATCCAAGCACTGTTTGCTTCATCCCGTCAGTTTTCTTACCACTCTTCAATTCCCCTTCTCTATCCTTCCTTGCCTATTTCTTTCTTTCCCTTTTTTTTTCCTTTTTTTTTTTTTTCTTTTTCTGAGGTGGAGTTTTTGCTCTGTTGCCCAGGCTGGAGTACAGTGGTGTGATCTTGGCTCACTGCAACCTCCTCTACCTCCTGGGTTCAAGCAAGTCTCCTGCCTCAGCCTCCTGGGTAGATGGGATTATAGGTGCCCACCACCATGTCTGGCTAATTTTTGTATTTTTAGTAGAGGCAGGGTTTCACCATGTTGGCCAGGCTGGTCTCGAACTCCTGACCTCAGGTGATCTACCCGCTTTGGCCTCCCAAAAAGCTAGGATTACAGGTGTGAGCCACCACACCCGACCATTTCTTATCTATTTCTGTGCCCTATACAATTTCTGCTTCTTCGGTCAATAAGCATTTCACTAATAGGTAAAGGAGGGCTGGGCGCAGTGGCTCACGCCTGTAATCCCAACACTTTGGGAGGCCAAGGGGGGCAGATCACGAGGTCAGGAGATCGAGACCATCCTGGCTAATACGGCGAAACCCTGTCTCTACTGAAAATACAAAAAATTAGCCAGGCGTGGTGGCGGGCGCCTGTAGTCCCAGCTACTCAGAAGGCTGAGGCAGGAGAATGGCGTGAACCCGGGAGGCGGAGCTTGCAGTGAGCCGAGATTGCACCACTGTATTCCAGCCTGGGCAACAAAGCGAGACTCCATCTCAAAAAAAAAAAAAAAAAAAAATAGGTAAAGGCAAGGTAGAGCTGAGATATGGTGCGGAATACAGACAAATGAAAACATAGAAGGCGTGGCAGATTTCAACCCTGGTGCCACCACTTAGCTGTCACGTGAACCTGAGCAAATGACTCAGTCTCAATGCACCTCAGTCATCTCATTGCAAGATGGGGACAATGATAGAAACTAGTCTATAAGATAGTCACTAAGGATTAGCAAATACATCTGAAAGCATTAGAACCCTCACATCTAAATGCTCAAATAATAACATGATTATTAGGTACCCGACATCTGCTTAGGTGCTAGGGATCATTGGGAGTCCAAGGTGATGTGGCACACAGGCTACCTGCCTTCCTGTCCCTTGCCATCTAGTCTCTGCCTTCAGGAAACTTAACAGACATGCAAAACTATGCTTCCTTCATTCAACAAGGTATATACTGAGCCCCTACTATGTACTAAGCACCATGCCAAGTACTGGGAATATTGCCCCAACGACCAAGCCAAAGGAAACACAGAACTAATCCCCTACTCCAGGAGAGAGGTGGTCTAGAATAACTTGTCAGCCATGAACTTTGGAGCCTCACTGCCTTAGCTTGAATCATGCCTCCTGCATTTAGCTGTGTGACGTTGGCATTTCATCTGTCTCTGCCTCAGTTTTCTCATCTCATCTGTAAAGTGGAACTAACAGCAATCATATGATTCTTACGAGGATGAAATAAGTTAACACATATACGTTGATTAGAACAGTGCCTGGCATTTAGTAAGTCCTCATAATTATTAGTTATTATTAGAAGAGGCGACAGGCATTAACCAATATCAGAAGCACATGTAAAGTGACACTGTGAAGTGTAGAAGACAGGCTGGGATAAGGAGGAGGCATGAGCAGTAGAGATGCGGCAAAAAAAAAAGTCTAAGGCATAATATGATAGGCATCTCCATATTAATAAACAAAATGCTAATTTACAAAGAGCCTTGAAATAAGGAGGGATCCATTCAAACTAGCGAAATCAAGGAAGGCTTCACAGAGGAGTTGGCATTTGTATTTAGCCTCATAGAGCACCTGGCTCTAATGTCTTCTTGACTAAGCCAAATGTAATAAGAAATTATAATGACTAAGAAAGGCCATAGCCATTGAGAACAGCTTATTTCAAGAGTATCAACAGTGAAATCCAACCCCATAGCACGGATCATTTAATGTTCATTTAATTATTAAACAGGTAATCCCTGAGTACCTGCAATGTGCTGGACCCTCCTCTTTTGGACTCTGTGGGCCCAGATCCTCTCTGACCTCCTACCTTTCCAACCACAGTCACAAGACTAAGATGAAAGTTTGAGAAAGTTCATGCCAGGCAAAGGGGACACCACGGAACATATTTGACATCAAGCAAAGTCAAGCAACTTGGTGAAGGCAAAGAGAGTGAAAAGATGATGAAGCTCAATTCCAGGAGACCTGAAAGTGCCATCTGAAGGAATTTTCAGTTTATTGTCTGGGCACTGGGAAGCCAATAAGCGGTTTGTTCAAGCAAGATGACTTGCTAATACAAGGAGGATAAATTAGATTCAGAGCAACTCAAGAACTGAACTATGCTTTGGGAAGTTGATTTTAGTGAACAAAGTCCCCAGCATACATCTGTTCCAAAAACTCTCTTAGAGCACATGAAACAGAAGACCCAGAACAGAGATTGAACAAGCTCTCATTGTTCTTGGCTACCACCTAGAACTAAAATCTTTTATGACCTTGTGGAATTCTTCAAGGCCATCTTCTAAACAGCACCAGCAGTCATTGTCCAGGCATTGAAAGTTTATAAATTGAATTCAGGGTTGAGAAGGGCATTGCTGAGTACATCAAAGAGCTTGGAAATCTGTCTCTACCCTGCAGTCTTAGAATTCTCTTGGATTTCCTTTATTGAGGTGTTTGCTGTCATTCTCTAATGTCTTTTTTCTTTTCTTTTTTTTCCTTTTCTTTTAGTCTCACTCTGTTGCCCAGGCTGGAGTGCAATGGTGCGATCTTGGCTCTGCCTCCTAGGTTCAAGCAATTCTCCTGCCTCAGCCTCCCAAGTAGCTGGGATTACAGGTGTGCACCACCATGCCCAGCTAATTTTTGTATTTTTAGGGGAGACGGGGTTTCACCATGTTGGCCAGGCTGGTCTCAAACTCCTGACCTCAGGCAGTCCACCGGCCTTGGCCTCACAAAGTGCTGAACCGGCATGAGCCACCGCACCTGGCTCTAATGTCTTCTTGACTAAGCCAAATGCAATAAGAAATTATAATGATTAAGAAAGGCCATAGCCATTGAGAACAGCTTATTTCAAGAGTATCAACAGTGAAATCCAACCCCATAGCACAGACCATTTAATGTTCATTTAATTATTAAACAGGTAATCCCTGAGTACCTGCAATGTGCTGGACCCTCCTCTTTTGGACTCTGTGGGCTCAGATCCTCTCTGACCTCCTACCTTTCCAACCACATCTGTGCCTGTATTCACCCAGCCAACACCACCTGCCATGACACTTCTGCTTCATTCCTAGTATATGTCAGATTCTTTCTTCTAGATCGTAGAACCCTCCTCTCTTGGCCTTGGCATGGCTAGCTCCTTCTCAGCTCAAGATGTTACCTTTTCAAAGAGGCCATCCATGATCAAGTTATATAAATAATTTATCCATGTTCCATTACTTTCTCTCATAGAATTCTGTTTGTTAGGTCTCTAACATGATCACCATCTGTAATTATGTCTGTATTCGTTATTTACTTGTATATTGCCTGTGTTTACTATGAGATTATAAATTCCACAACTGCTGATGATGTACTGGTTTTATAGACCAATGTATAAAAAAATACTGTACACTCAGAATTTTGCATAAGGTCTGGCATACGCAGGAGCTCAGTATATTTTTTGAAAATAAATAGGTGAAATATCTGAATGCATCCCCAGAGCTGTCCTGGCAAATTATATCCCTTAATTCTAGGCCGGGCTATTCATGTAACAGTGATGTATAAAGGCTATTTTTGTTCATTTATTCATGCAATTGGGTACTTACTGTAAGTCAGGTACTGGGAAAACCAACCTGGGCAAATTTGATAACTTGAGAGACTCCCTTTCCAGGAACCAATTCCCTAGAAAGCCCTTTGTCATCATTAATTATTTCATACCCAGAAGACCTCAGAGCTGCTATTGAGACTTCTGTGATCTACTTCTGACCTATGGGAGACCACGCAGCCAAGTGTCAAGGACCCTGTATTCTCTATCCAGCTCTGAACCTTTCTCACTGTGAGAACTGGGTAAGCCATATCACTGCAGTTAGC